CTCTCTCTTTCCCTCCCCGTCCCTCTCTCTCTCTTTCTCTCTCTCTTTCTCTCTCTCTTTCTCTCTCTCTCCTCTCTCTCTCACTCTCTCTCTCTCTCCTCTGTCTCTCCCCATCTCCCTCTCCCCTCTCTTTCTCCCTCCCTCCATCCAACTCTCCCCTCCCCCTCCCCCTCTCCCTCTCTCCCTCTCTCCATCAACCACGTCACACACAATCACAAAGCTCATGCAACCTCCCGCCCACAATGACCAGCTAATGACCAACTCACAGATGGCACCCCACGAGCAACCACTCACCAGTAGTTGGCTCACCACAGACCCCTTGAGAACCCCACGGGCACCAATGGACCCCACGGACGCCCTAGAACCCCCACTATGGTGGGGGAGGGGGGGGGGTCGTGAATTCGCCCCCCGGTAAAAGGATAGGTCACAATAGTGCAGTCAAAAATTCGTGGTGCGACTTATTTTCAAATATCTCCTCAACTATCGAACATAGGTTCTCCAATTTGTGCACAGTGACTTGTATCAATTTGTCTTAACACATCAACATTTTTGTAAACACATGCAAGATGTATTCTAGAAAATTCCTTAATAAATACTAATAAAAAATCCAAATGGATGGTTTCGACAGATTTTTTAATGTTTCCAGCTGGGCAATATTGCTTTTAATAGCAAGTCCGTCAGGTTTTTGTAATAGGGACATTATGCTTATTGGACGCATTTTTTGAGAACCATTAGAGCAAAAATGTGTTCATTATAACAATAGTTTCTTGTAACAGGTTTTGCAAGTACAAATTGTCATCGATGAGATGTGGCGCCATATGTGTAATCAAAATGTACGTGAGAAGCAGGAAGTGCTGTGAACAATTCCATTTTACGTGTGACAGAGATTTCAAGTATTTTATATAAATTTATGAAGAAAAGTTTTTTAATCTAAACCCAATTGTTCTAGAAAAATATGATTTAGTTAAGACAAATTGATACAGACTGTTATGCAAAGTATGGATGACATTGATTCACCCGTTAAAGAGATATTTGAGGATAAGTTGCACCACAAATTTTTCCCCGCACTGTAGTCGGAGAAGCGGATCATGAACTCGCCCCCTTGTTTTTATCCTTAATTTGATATTTTGAATTGAGGTTTGAAATTGTTTTGAAAACGATAGATTTTTGACAGTTTTAGTGACATATTAAGTGTGATCTGCAGCAAACAATACGCAGTTTGACCCCCAAATCAGTGCATCTGTGTGCCGGAGTACGCCTCCGAATAGTTCCTGGGTGCTCGCCGGAGACGTCTCCGAATGTCTTCTGCCTTACGATCCCCCTAGAACCC